TTCTACCGAGAATATTTCGAAGCCACCCAGCCGCCGAAGCCATTGGCCCGGTTGGGTCAGCCGGCCCGGTTCCGAGCTTGCGGCTAGGCGCGTCCGAGTTGAGCCTTTCCCCCCTGAGACCGTAATAGTAATCAACTTCGCGAGTGGTGTAGTCGGTCCTTGGTGGATACGCAATCATATAAGGACCGGGAGTGGCACTTCTCGACGTCTGAGGGTCGAATTCCGCGGTGTCGTTGAGCGGTACTCCTGATTGACTTAGGCGTTTCTGTGACCAGTCGGCGCTAGTCCACGAACCACCTGGTTTGGCACCGGGAGAGTACGCGCTTTCAGTGGTGGTGCGCCTTCGAGGTGGTCTGAAGTAGGGGTCGACAGTCGGCATGCCGAATGCGCTAGGAGACCGTCCTTGGGGTTGGGCAGAAGCCGCAAAGGAGAACGAGTTAGCTTCTCCAGGCGTGGTCGGTGTGAATGACCCATTGTCAAGATTTCGAACGGCCGTGTTGAGACTGACGTCCTCAAGCACAGACGAGCTATGACGGTGATGCTTCGTCATGAGCCCCATACTCCCTGCCAACTCGCTCTGTATGCGGCCTCCGTTCATCACATAACCGGCCTTGAAGGTCTCATCCGTGTCGAGCATCGCCGCGCTAGACAGTTGACTGTGGCTTATGGGGCCGCCAGCACGCCTGGGCATACGACGCGACAACTGTCGCATACCGAAGATCTTGGATAGCCCGCCCCTCGATTGCCCTCGAACATCATCTCCACCAGCCCCTAACAGCCGCGCTACGACTTCGACAATAGTTTGGACTGCGTTCAGGAAGAATCCCAGAACAAGAACGCCCGCATGGACAACAAGTATAGCGTAGCCGACCCAGCCCTTAAGCCCTTCTTCCACCTCCAGCGACGGTACAAAGGCCACCATCATGAGTATGGAGACGAGACGGAGCCCAGAAAAGAGGGTATGGTAGGCGTTCATCGATGTTGGTGAGTGGAAAGGGCGAAAGGCATGCAGGGTCAGTATCTGAATAATCTCGCAGATGGCGAGGAGGACCACCTGGGCAACTCCAGCAGGCTGGACAGCTCCGATGGCAATGCCTCGAAGAAAACTCAAGAAAACTGGTATAAGAGCGAAGGCCGCCGCCTCATCAGAGTAAGTGTTGTAAAGAGGTCCATAAAGAAGCACCGTAGGGAGGTCATCAAAGAGGAACGCTCTTGGCCTCGAGGTGGCGATGAGGTGAAGCAGCCAAACGGCAAAGCCAATGATGAGGACCAAAGTTACAACTGCCAGTGCGACTGTGTAAGCTGGCGAGTGGGTTGCTACCACCAGTTGAAAGGTCGAGAGAGCAACAATCGGTAGCAAGAAGTAGTTCAAGACAAGTCTGACGACATTACCCAGAGTAAACGGGAGGTTCTTGTGTCGGAGATCTTCCTCGGGGACCTTTCTAACGGAACGATACAGCCACTTGACCAAAAAGGCTCCCTGGGTAAGAACAAAAACGGCTCCGATAATGGCCATTAACCACACCATCATTCCGGCCCAGACGTCTTCGACCTCCCCTACTCCCACCAAGTGAGCAAGTCGCTGAAGTCCGTACTTGCCCTCGGTAAAATAAATGCCATCCCGCAGGCTTATCCACCCGGGACTGTCGCTCACAAAGCTCTGATTAAACATTAGTGCCGACCATGAGCCCTGGCTAACGATCGGTTGGTAGAAGCCTGGATAGTTGAGGGTTAGGCCGCCAGTTAGCACGACGAACTGTATGTACTGAAGACAATCTCCAAACCCTGGCGTAACCAAACGCAGCAGGTCGGGGTCACGGCCGTAGTTAGATGTCCAGTGGAAAACATCGCTGGTACCCCACGGACTAAAAATGGCAGCAAAGATGGTGGCAACTCCGACAAAGACCAGGACTATTAAGGGCAGGAACTTGAGCATCCAAGCCAGGTTTCCTAGGTCAGGTGTCACGGTAGCCGAGACACAGCCGATCTGGGTATTTCCAGAATCTCCATAAACGATGGAAAACTCGGAGGCAAAGGAGCTGAAGGCATAGGATGAATAGAAGTCTTTGGTGTAAGTCACATAGGGAAGGTCCTCCCTGTTCGTGCTAAGATCACAGTCAGCCAACGAACTCCAAAAAGTACCAGGCCAAGTCCCTTGAGTCATGGGGACCAAGCAGAATTGAACCTACCTGTTAACCTCCCAGACCGGACCCAAAGGACAATGTGCGTTTCTCAGGGATTGGTTGCAAAAGTCGGTGCGTTCCGTAGCCTCGGAATACGTGAGAACATTGATATGCGTGAAAAGAGTGGTGACCTTTGGATTGGCAGAGTCCGGTTCTGGCACGGCGACAATCTTGCCATCGTGTTTGGATGTGTCGTTCCAATCCGGACTACCGGGTGGGGGAAGCGTGATGTTTCCAGAAGTCGCCGCGCCCGTCACATTTCCCCACATGGTCAGCTTCAGCGTATGTCGGTCGTCCTGATCATCAAACGAGGCATCGATAAAAAGAGGCTTCCATTGTAGACGTGTCGGCTGGTCCATTTGGTAGGACTTGTCCAGGCAGTTGTCAAACGGGATTAGAACCGCCGTAACGGATTGTACCCAGAGCAACCGCAAAGCCAAAAGAAAGAGGCATTTCAACCTGCTAGATAGTCGTAGCAGCAGGCGGCTATGTGAGCCAGGGGCTACGCGTGCGCTTAACCTTGGGCCGTCCTTGTCCGTGCGTGCCATCCGAGAGGACGACAGGACGGTCAACAACGGTGTCGACGGCTGTTCGGAACGGACATTGGAACGGCTTGAAACATGACTGGATGAGGCGCCTGGGGGGATCATTTTCTGAGATGTCAAGTTCACGCAGTCGACGCAGCAGCCCGCTGACATCTGGGCGCAGACAGCGGAAACTGGACAAAGACCCGGGACATGAACACTTCCATCCTCCAATTCCGAGCTTCGATTTGGCGCAAGAGCTGTGGAGGGCGCAAACCGAAGGTCGAAGGGAGAAACCACCGGCATGGTTGATGGTGACTGACAGCAGTACGGCGGCGATTGTCTACATGCTGTACATAGTGAATAGGATCGGGGCTCTTGAAGATCGAATGGTTGGAAATCGCAGCAACACCGTCGCACAACCTCGTGCTTCGCCTTTCTTTCCCGCCTTGGTCCTCGTCCTCGCCCTGGTCCTTGTTCTTCCCGTACCCGCCGTCCCCGCCGCCGATGTTGATCGTGTAGTCGGTGCTGCAGTCGTGGTTGCAGTTGAAGTTGTAGTTGCGATTGAATGTCCTGGCTTCTTCTGTGGCGTCGTCGCAAAGGCTGTAGATGTCGTTGTGGTTGATCTGGAGCTTGTCGCGATTGTCGTGGTAGTGGTAGCGATTGCTCTAGCACTTGACTGCTAGAGGTATGCCCAAACGATGCGCCACCGTGCGGCGCTGAGCTGGAATCCAGTGGAAATCGCTCTGGTCGGTTGCAGGAGCGGGAAGACGGTGAGGCCCAGAGTCGGTCCATCAGGTGTCCGCTGACGGAAAGGATGAAGTCTTCAAATTAACTGTCGATGTTGGGACGAAGCAAATGGGCCTGAAAAGTAGGAAAGGAACAGGCATACCTTAGCAGTTGGCTATGTAGACAACCTAGAAACCCAAGCGGTCGGGTATCGATCATCCATTCAACAAGGACGGTCAGCCGCTTACAGCAGAGGTAGCACCCGGGACTGCTAGGTGTTGAGGTTCCATGAAGCTTCCAGCCTGCCAGTGCCTGCGTAGCCACCCAACTTCCACTTCACCGTTCAATCGATGCAAACCTTATCGTCGCTGATACTGTGTACATTTGTAGAGCGAAAGCCACACAAGATCACCACACCATGGCCAAAAGAGGCAGTGCCGCCAGGGGGCAGTAGCAGCTTCCTAGCCAGCGGAGCCTGTTCCACCATCATCTCGATGTAGTGTATGGCCGCTCAAGTCTATGCTTTAACATGCTTCCTTCAGGAAGAAATATGCTGGCATAAATGGACCCCGAAATGAGGAGTCAAAAGTCTTACAACCTTGGGAGCCATTCATATATAAGGCTGAAACTCAACTGGCCCTCAGACGTAGTAGTCGAGGTAGGATAAGAACCAGAGAGATGGAGTCAACGCCCAGATAACATGCCAGACTAAGTGTAGAGGCTGATTGATGATGGACAGCGTATACTCATTAGATAAAAGCAAATCATTCGCACAGCACCTCATACGTCCACTGGCCCGGCTTATCGAGAACAATATTAATGTCTGTGAGGCATTCTGCCATCACAATTATTCTTTGTGTACATACATTCTGTCGTTAAAGCATCGAGCAGTAAGCATGGTGTGAGCAGCTACTCACTCTCGAGCACATGCACACTAAACTGTGGAGATGGAGATTCAAGCACTCAGTTGGTGCGTGCTTCGTTGAGCTCGCAGAGGGAAAGGGGTTTTGGGGGGGGGGGGGGGGGGGGGGGTACGGGCCTCTACCTCCAATCACACCCGCCTACAAAATCCACGACCTTTTTCGAAAGAGAAGCATTTTGAACACAAACGTCCAGCTGGACAAATTATCTACATTGGACCGTGCCAATGAGCAATTACCTTTTGTCATTCAGTCATCTAGTCATCTCTAGACTCAAGGGGCCATCCTCAACAAGGCGGTCTCATGCGAAACGTGACAGCATTTATAAACTCAACTTTCATCGCGTTACACCGTACTCTAGGCCAGCCATCCTCAACTTTCTCGCAAAGTTCTCAACACGGCAGTATATGTCCATACTCAATAAGCCTCATCCTTTCTCAGAACATCAAACAGTCACCCGCTTGAATACACCTAGATGACGACATCGACAAGGACCTAGCCAACTATTCTTTGTTCTGATCTTTGCCTTTCCCATATTAATATTGACATAGTCGATATATCACACAATTAACTAAATACCAGATGCTTGAGAGGTATGTCGTGTTCTCGATATTACTGTATTCTAACCCGCAATGAGGACGACGTTACGACTGATGCCTCGTTTGTGACAAAAGAAGCTTGACTCGGCTTTCCAGTGCGGTAATCTCCTCGGGACTTATACTGTTCACCAATGTGTCTTCCAATGCGCCTTCCATTAAGTAGCTGTCGAGTAAAGATGTCCTTTCCATACTTCTGGCTAGTGTCTGCGGGTCAACAAGAAGCGTCAACGCAAGCTGGTGTGTTTCGAATCCTAGAGGCGTGGTTTCCAGTGGTAGTAGGTTTGTCTTGAGGCGTTGGATCTTTCTCCTCTGAGACTTATCTGCAAGTGACTGTTGTCTCCGTATCAAGTAACCTCTAGGATCGTTCGTCGGCAAAGCTGCTTCAACACCCTCCTCGCCCTCCACGATAGATGATGATAGGTCGTCGACCGTCCTTGATTTGACAGGCATTTCGCCGCTCAGCATATCAGTCAGACTATTCGCTTTAGTTTGGGCTATAGTTCTCCGTCGTGTGTTGTCCATGGTTCTTCTGCCAGTATGCTGACCAGGCGACCCCATGAGTGGCTGGTTGGGCCTGACAAAACCACCGTTCGCATTTGGGACCGTGTTTTCGAGTGGCTCAAGCTCGTGGATCTCATTCGTCTGTGTTTTCCGTTGCCGTTTATAGTAGCCTCCGCCAAAAGAAAGTTTAGATTGTACCATCCCAAGGCTTCGCCCAGCATCCGTTGGATAGGAGCGTCTATCCGCCGGTCGTCTACCAGACCCTTGTGTTGTATACGGATTTTGTTCCAAAGCCACTGTTGGTTTGCTGTTGCGTTGATTAGCAGGCTGGGAATGTGCTTCCCCAACATTCAGCAGCGCATTGCAGGTTTGGGTCCTTGTGGTCGTGCGGTTGTTCTCGACCGTTGGCTGAGTTTTCCGGAGAGGTTGATCTTGTGTGTTGCCTCGCCGTCCTGGCACTTCCACCGGTTGCCCTCTGGGAGGCGGCACTTCATCTGGACCAACATGCCCACTTTCCCGTGTAGGACTGCTTAGGTTTCGCTGTGTCTGCCGCCGAGGGGCTACCAATTTGGCAATTGTCCATGGATTTAGGCCCTCCTTTGACTGGTTTGGGGGTTCTTCATCGGTCGGAGGTGTTGTGGGAGCCGCTCCTTTACCAGTCTGTGTCGGGACATCAAGATCATCATCCCCATCACCGAGGGCCCCGTCACCCGCAGACATATCGACAGACCATGACTGCACTAAGGGCGCAGTACTTGAGATGGATAGTCTTCTGTCATTTCTCGACGGGGTAACTGGGCGCTTTCTCTGGGATCCGATCCTAGGCCCACTGTCTGCCCGTACTGTCTCAACCTAGCATCTTTTTTTTAGTACATCGGAAGTTCGTATGTTTTACCGTACTGCTCACCTGTGGCGTTGAAATGTGTTCATCAGCTACGCCGGTATCGTATACACATCCATTCGCTTCCGTTGATAAGTCCATGGAAGAAGCACCGGCGTCATTGCGCTTAGCGGGATAGATTGACAACAAGAAACTCTCAAACTCTCGAAGCACCAACTCTTCGTTATGAAAGAGAACGTCGTATTTTGATGGTTCGACATTCGGGTCATAGGACCCAAGAGGGCATCTGATATCGAGTCGTATGAACGGGCTTCCGGGAAGTTTTGATGAGTTTTCGGGGATCAGGGACCCCTTGAAATGCTTCTCGAAGACGGCCTTCAACTTCTTGGCAGTTCCTCGAGTGAATGAAAGAGGTCGAGAGTCAACCGAGATGAAAGGACCCTTGCAAATCTTTCGAATATCAGCCGTAGTGGTAGGGAGATAGGCTTCGAATACAAACTTGGATGGCTGCTGAGCCAAAGGGAGACTACAGGTCTGTGGGATTTTCGTCTCGGTATCGGATACAGGGAATGGTGAAGTCTGAAGCATGCATTGAGCTGCCAGCTCTCGGCCCATTACCTGGACAACAGCGTCCTTGAGGGCGGCACCGGAAGTCGGAACATAGGACCACGATTGCTTTCCGCCAAGGACCTTGAAAGATAACTTGACCTGAGGCCTCGCCAAAGCGTAGCACTCTAAGAGGCCTTTGACCTTCAGAACTGTCGCAGTCGCCTCACCGATGGCTCTCTTGTGTCTGACTGGATACGCACCGAAAAGATCAGTGACGCAAACAGAAGTGCCAGCAGGAGCGGGTTTGTGTCCACGAGCAGCAGCGACACCTTCTCTTGAGAAATGTAAGATAGTTGCCACCGATTCAGCCGATGTTCTGGTGCAGATTGCAATTCCAGCCAGAGCGGCAGCACTGGCCAAAGCTACGCCGCGGAATCCAAGGCTTTTGCAGCCAACAGACTCAAGATCTTTGAGTGACGAGAGCTTGCTAGTATGTCCTGGCCGTCCAAGATGGTGAAAGTCGCTCGGACTGATGCCGCTGCCGTTGTCTCTGACTTCGACCCTGTCCACGGTGTTTGGAGAAATCAGGATATCGACCGTTGTTGCTCCGGCGTCGAGTGCGTTGTCCAGCAACTCTTTGACGAGAAAAATGGGCGAGGTTATGACCAGAGCTGAGCCAAGTAAGCGCCTGGTGTCTTCGGGGAGAGCGAATATGGGCATGTTGGAAATTCCAGGGGATAGTTTTGAGGATAGGCTTAAGGATAGAAGGCGCATCTGGCAGCCTGAGCGACACACAACGACAAAAATCGGCGAAAACAAATGAGTGGTTGCAGCAGAAAAGATAAGAGTAGAGGTAAACCAGCAGGACAGTTTCACTTGGAGATACAGTGCTCTCTCCCTTCCTCCTAGCTATGTATGTCGTTGTGAGAAGAGGTGGACAGATGATAATGCCACTGAAACCGGCTCGGATGCAAAGACAATTTGCAAGAGGGCAACAAATTTTGAGGATTCGACAGCTCGGTAAGTAAGGTAGCCAGTAAGAAGTGATTTTCATTTTGTAGGATATGGCAAAAAGAGAAGGAGTGACTGCTCTAACATTCAACAAGGAAGTTACGAGACGGGATGTGGACTAGTATTACCTCCAGGTACCTTGAGTGGCACATAAGCCTAGGTAGTAATGCAAAGGTTTGTTCTTTCCTCATAAACTCTAGCACACACAGGGCACGCGTCTTCTGCCTCCCTCCACTCCTCGCTCGAGGCTTATGGCCCACTGGGGATGCCTAGGCAGGTACATCCATGACATTCGAGTCCATAGTGCTGACCCCCAGGTACTTATGCACCATGAGCATTCATTTTAGCAATCATCCTTGCGGACGACAACGTTCCAGTTGCCCTTAACGAAGACCCGACCCTTGACGCCGTTGTCTTCGGGAAGTTCGCCCCAAATCGTGGCACAGTCCCTGTTGTGGGAGTTGAGAACAAACTGAGCAGCCCAACCGATGGAGCCGTACGAGTCGAGTGATTTGACGTCCGGGTTCTGTAAGGCGATGGGTAAGGTTAGCAACTGGGACAGTCGTCTTTACCTCTAGAACATAGCACTTACATCATTGCACCAATAAATAGCGCTTTCATAGGAGCAGCTGACGCGCCCGCAGTTGCCGGGACCGGGTCCGTTGGCAGGCGTACCGGGTACATTATTGAGGTACTCGATGCCCTTCGTGGTAGCAGTCCTTTGAGCATAATCGAACACATTGCAGACAAGCGACTCGAGCTCGTAAGAGCTGTCGGACTCAGTGGCCGTAGCGAACACAGGGCTGTCGGCGGTGTTGTCGATGCCAAAATCCTTACGGAAGTTGGGGTTGGCTTTGTCCAGGGCATCGTAAACCTGCTGAATGGTGCCGGTCACGTTCATGGTAGGGCCATCCGGGTGGGCCTTGACTTCCCAGATAATATCCTCGATGCCGTAACCAAAGATAGGATCGTGGGCCGATTTGGCATCAGAAGCCGGTAGGGCACTCGAAGGGATAGCCTAACAGCCGAGTATCAGCATAGCTGTGTGTGGAAAGGAGCCACAAGCTTGCCAACAGGAGTTCTTACCTGAAGGATGGCCAAAATGGCTCCCGAGAGGAGAGCTGAGGATCGCATGGTGCCGATGTTGACAGTAGGGTTGAGGTGGAGGTGAGAGCAAGAAAGGAAGCTGGCAGTGAATGACTAGTACAGGAGTATGAAAGATGATGAGGAAAGAAATCCAAACGCTTCCAAAAAGGAGGCAGACCCCATCTTTTTGTACCCGAGAGGGTAACGATTCTGAGGATGATCCTCGATACATCCATTCAGACGACGCAGTCGCCATGGAATCGCCGTCCCAACGAGGTTCGAGATCCATCATATTCGCCAGGACGAGTAAACACTTGGGTCCATCTATCCCGCCGTTTTTTTTTCATTTCATCCACCCCATTCCCATCTTTGAGTGACCGACCGCTTTCATGTGGCGTTCTAGCCGAGGTTCATCGCTTTGAGATGGGATCGCATTCGTTCTAGGGCCATCTTTCACGGCTTGTTGGGGCCTAGATGCAGACTTCATCTGGACTTAAGGAGGTGAAAGTGGACAAACCAGTCTTCGTCGGCCCGTCGATGTAGGGCGAACTCCTGCCAGGAGGGAAAACGCAGAATTACATTCTCAGCCGGCCCTTGCCATCAGAAATGTTATACATCCTCAACGACGCAAGGGAAATAATTTATACCTGGACTTCATCCACATCCTGAGTGGCTTAGTGTCCTCGTTGTACGGCGACCCATGGAAGGTCCTTGACTCCATATGTGATGCAAGCCATTCCCTCATTCTCTCTATTCCACCGCCAAACGCCTTGTCCGCTTGAGCATCCCTTCTGGAATGGGCCTCCGGACGCATTCGTTTAGGTCTATCGATCTTGAAATGTTTCCAACGGTAGAACACCGCGTATCTGATACGTTTGAAACCAAAAGGGTAATTCATGATAAAACTTTTGATCGATTTAGGATCGATGAATTTCAAAGGGCGTACGGGATATTCCTAGTAGGAACTCGAATTGCAGCCTTTTTTTTTCTGATCGCACTTTGACAAGGATACAAGGATAAAAAAGAAAATGACCAAACTGAGAATATGCCGTTCTCCTAACCAACCACCATAACGTAACGTAAGGATACTATATACTTTGTAAGCTGGACCAACCACACTGATTTGAATATGAAGGCACATTTCTTGTATCTCGGCATTTGGAGGAGACTCATCAAGAGGTTCCCAAAATGCCATTTCTTCTTAACTTGTCAGAGTTCATTCCAGATGAGTGGCTCCAAATGGCCAATGCCAAGACAGGCGTTCAGCGGTGGAAATGATATTACTGGTTCTCGCCGAGTCTTTCCGCTGTTACGGACCTTGATTGAGAACGGTGTTTGTACTTGCTTTCAGTTTTAAGGACGATTCGCACTATCATCGTATGTACAGTTAAGCAAGACATACATAGCGCTGACACCTTTGTCTACTGGCTACGCTAACGCGATGTTCAGGATCACGAGTTTTTGCGTTGCACATGCATGTGACTGATACCAACGCACGAATATCGAGCCTGATTGCTGTCGGATTGATCTGCCACGTGCCTACATGGAATTTCAGATTGAAGAGGTTGTCCTGAACCTTCCCCCCCCCCCTAACCCAAAAAAATAAAAATAAACAAAATATAAAAAAATCCCAAGACTAGAGCAAGCAGGATGACAGGGACATCCTAAAACTCGAAGTTGAACCTGAATTGAAGGTGATGATCCAACGACCGCACAACGCTCAGAGACAGGGTGAAGCCATCCTCGCCGGGCTGGTATCTTCTACCTGCGGTGCCCATTGAAAGTATCACCAGGAGGGAGGACGTCCTCGAGGTATTCTCGCCATCAATTTCGCCACGGCAGGTGTTGGCACATACACTACACCAGAAGAGCCCCAGGCTTGCCACGCGAGCCCGGCAAAGGTATGATGCGGGAAATATCTTAAAGTTTTCATAGCTCTGTGGCTGATGCAGACCGCAAGGCGACGAGGACGGCACCACGATTACGTGAAAGGTAAGACGTGGGTGTGAGCCACTTCTTGGTACCCATGTGAGGTTCTGGAAATAGCAGATACATCCCTGCTAGAGCTGCACATGTGTGGTTGAGCTATGGTATGCATGTACGGTGCTGCTAAATGCTCCGTAGGGTATCTGAGCCCGTAGCGTCCGGCCCGTACCACTCAGCCAAACCTTCATGCTCCAACGAAGGTTCCTCTTCTCCCCTTCACGGGTATCACAAGCTCTAGACAAAATACCAACTCCAAGCTCGTCATAAAGGAAAGCCGAAGGCGCAACCATCACAAGAACCGCCGATCGTCCACACCAGACCAGTTCCTCAAGCACACGCAACCATACGCACACATACCTACACAATGGTACATACCAAGGGACCCGCCCCGCAGCACCACGATGGCAGTGGCCTGCGCATCGGCATCATCCACGCCCGCTGGAACGACACCATCATTGAGCCGTTGCTCGCGGGAACCAAGGCCAAGTTGCTTGACTGCGGCGTCAAGGAGTCCAACATTGTGGTCCAGTCGGTTCCTGGTTCGTGGGAGCTTCCAATTGCTGTCCAACGGTGTGTCACAGTCCTTTCCTTTCCACCCGCATTGCTTGTCATTGTAGTTGCTCGAGGTTGCTACATACTTACCAGCTACCTCTCCTCCTCGTCCCTCCCCCCTCCCTTCAAGATGGAATGGCTCTGCCCTACCCTACGTAAACGTTCGTAGAAAGCCCGGCTGACAAGAACCCAACCTACCCTTGGGTCTCACCGTTCCGATAGGCTCTACTCAGCATCGCAAGTCCAGTCCTCCTCGTCCGGTATCGGCACCAGCGCCGGCGATCTCCTGGGCAGCTCGACGACCGACCTCGCCTCTTTGAGCAATACCGCTGCATCTGCGGTGTCGACAGGCCCCTTCGACGCCCTGATCGCCATTGGCGTGCTGATCAAGGGCGAGACGATGCACTTCGAGTACATTGCCGACACGGTGTCGCAGGGCCTGATGCGCGTGTCGCTCGACACGGGCGTGCCCGTCATTTTCGGTGTCCTTACCGTGCTCACCGAGGAGCAGGCGCAGGCGAGGGCCGGCCTCATCCCTGGAAGCCATAACCATGGTGAGGACTGGGGTCTTGCTGCTGTTGAGATGGCTGTCAAGCGCAAGGATTGGGCTGCCGGCAAAATTGAGTAACGGTCGATCATGTGGGTTGGGACGAGGATCACGAAGAGGAGACATATAACCAATATAGAAACGCTTACAGTTTCATAAGCTTCACATCAAGAGAGAAATATCATCTATGGTAGCGGCCAGTAAATATGCATGGGACCCATTTCTAGCCTGGTTTGTTCGTACTCTAGACGCGGGGAGAGGGGGGTGACCAAGAGCACTTTGTGACACGACTGATGCTTCGTGTGATGAAAACTTTGCACAGTCGAAGGACAGGCAGGTCTCGTCCCAATGAGAGGATGCACCGCTTTACTAAGGGCTAGAACTCCATCCCAGGTTGAGATGCGCTCGATGCGCTCGATGACAACGTGGGCGAGGTATAAAGTATTCGACCATGCGTGACATTGGAATTACTATATTACTGATGGGTTGTGTATGTCTATCGTGAAACGTCCCCCAAGCAGTTCGAATGAATGAAGATAGCAGGTAATTGAACTCCCATCTCGCCCAGTAAACAAAGACCGCCCTTTTTTAAAGTGATGCGCATTTACAATATGTTCGAACCTCAACTTACATCTCCTATCCTTCCCTCTTGTCACGCGGAGCCCGAGACACAAGAAACAAACTGCCCAACCCTATCCAACTTCGGTCTGGGGAATTCCTACGGTCCTTGGCACAAGGGTATATCACTTTCACATGATAAGTGTGCCGGCATCGCCACTCACTGACTTCTTCCTCTTCCACAGGGACCTCTTTTTCTCGCGTTTGGCCTTCATGTCCTCCCATCCTTGCTCGTCGTCGTCGTCATCCGAAGCACTGCCGGACTGCTTTGCGGTGACAGTAGGCTGGTTGACCCCCGACATGGTCGAGGACTTGCGCATATGACTTGCGCCCAACGGCTGCACAGTTGCCGACATTGCTGGTAGAGCTGGGGGTGCCATTTGTGATACGGGCCGGTATCGGCCAGGAAGCCCAACGTTGCTGCGTTCCGACGGTGCGATCGACGGCGCATAACCTCCTGTAACTCGAATTGACGGAGCAAAACCAGCAGGTTGTTGCGGATGGATCCAGGATGCCGAGCTGGGCTGGACCATGCTCATGGTGCGCTTCTGGGCATCGCCTCGAGGGGGGGGCAGATCTAGCATCGATTCATTGCCCATGAAGGAATGCCGCAAATCAGGTCCGCCAAGTCCCAGGCCACCGGGAACACCATGCATTGGCGGCAATCCAGCAAACCCGCCAGACATGCCGGCCGCAGAGCCTATGCTTCCAATTGAACCTGTGGCCATATGCCCTTCTGGACGTGGTGCTCCAGTGCCGTTTTGCCCCGCCATCATCTGCATGAATTGCATCTGCATCTGCATGAACTGTTGCATCTGCTGGGTCATCTGAATTTGTGCTTGGTCCCCGGGAGTCAGGTTAGGCTTATTGGGGTACAGCATGTGCGGAGGAATGCCGGCAAGAGGATCGAAGGTGGCAGCACCAGAATTGGGCCGTTGAGCTTCAATATGAGGGCTGCCCCGTCTCATTGCTCTCGCTCTTTCTTCGCTTGCAATGACGCCAATTAGGCCACCAGGAGGGCCGGCCGGGTTGGGATAAACGGGAGCAGGGCTACCTCCTCCCAGGGCAAAGTTCTCGCGCGGATTGTTGCGAACGAGACCGGCACCGAGGAAGGGGTCCTGAGGTAGGTTCCTGGCAAAAGCTGGGAGGTGACCACCTATCGCTGCCGCTGCTCCGCCAGCTGCAGACCCCGGCCGTTGATAGCTAGGTTCCTGCGCGGCGCGGAGGTTGGGGTTCGACATCATGGTGCTCAAACGGGTCGGAGGCCGGTTCTTGTTGGGAAAGCCATGGGCGGCGAGAATGGCCAGAGGAACTTCCTCGTCTTCATCCGAATTATCTGACGTGGCTGGTCCTGTCGCAGAAATCTGCAGATTTGGAGTGCTGAAAGACATTTGGAGGTTAGGCCGTGGCATGGGTGCGTTCGCCGACTCTCCAGTAACCTTCATCATTTGCTGTCGGTAAACGGACATATGGGCTTCCTGCTTCTTCCTCTGCTTTGCTTGCTGTTTTGCCTTTTCCAGATCATCCTCCTCATCATCGTAGTTGTCCTCATCATCTTCCTCGCCAGCCGTGCTTTTGTCCTGGTTTCTTGCAATGTCCATTTGCCGCTCCCTGTCCTGACGTTCCTTATCCTTTCGATACTTCTCAAACTCGGCCGGGGTCATGACCTTGTTGGCCCCTTGTGACTGCATGTCTTGGGCACGGTTACGGCTCACTGTTGTTTCGTATGCGTAGCTGTGGTTGGTATCGAAAAGACTATCGTCATCACCCAGAGCAGTGTCCTTGAACCCAGAGGGCAGACCGTTTCCACCCCTGCGATACCGTGAACCAGTAGAGGGGCCGGATATAGATTGCGCACCTCCTTCATCCATATACTTGCTCACAGTGGATAACGAATCCATCAAAAGCCTTGCCTCCTCATCTTCGCCGTCGCCCTGTTCCGTGTCCGAGTTTTGGTGCGCGAGCAGCGGCTTCCTTGGGTTCGATTCTGGGGAGGCGTTTGGTCGAGTAGCCTCGCGAGCCAAAGGCGACATATGGCGAGACGGAGGAGAGGTCATTTCCCTGTTTCGGGGTGAATGGGGAGGGCTAGTTGGCGAGAGCAGCTGGTCGTTGGAGCGCTGGCTGGTCCATGACGGTTGCGCAGGCTCCACCTTTGCGGTTCTGTCAACCTGAATAGGCGACGGCTGGCTGAGACGATTTCCAGTCAAGGATCTCGGTCCCAAGCCGGGTTGTGTAGTTTGGCTGTTCTGGTTGTTCTGCTTGCCCACCATTGTAACTCTCTTCTCATTTCCAAGCACCATCTTCTCAAAGTCACCCCCCAAATCCATGCCAAGGTCGTCCTCCACTCTGGGTGGTGTTACGGTCGTCGAGGTCGAAGTAGTTGTAGCCCTTGGTCTAGTAGGAGCCAAGATTTGATTATAATCCTGGGCTCCGGAATTCAGCGGCGGGACTGGCTCTTGTTCAGCCGGCGAAACGGGCAGAGGCTTCTTTCCTCCCCCAAAAGAGAACGTTCGACCGGCAGCCTTCAAGAGTCCCGCCGAAGAAGACTTGGGGATAGGCGGCACCGGTACATCACCAGAATCAGCAGATGATGGTGCAGTGGAAGAGTTGCTATGGCGCGAGGAGTTGTCAGTCGACGTGGCCTTGGTGGTGCTCGAGGATGCGCTTCCCCTTTAGGCGGTTAGCCAGTCAACTCAGCGCAAAAAGAGACCTGGTGAGGATGTAAACCAGGACGAACCGCGAACAAGGTGAGATGAGAGCACGAGAGGAAATCTCAACAACCGACAGGGTCAGAAGGGATAGGACTAGGGTTGGGCAGGTATCAGGGGGAGGAAAGCAATGACTCTGCTCTTACCTGTTGATGCCGGCGAACAAATTGTCGTGATGTATATCGCTGCCACTCGTTTTAGGCCTAGAAGGGGCCTTGCCTCCCAACCTCATGGCCCCATCGAAAGATTTGCCAGCCTCATGGAATTTGTTCCCGCCAGCATCGGGACGCTCCAGAACACGAAAGGACGGCTCTGCCGGAGCATTGTCAGCGTTTTCAGCGGTCGACTTCCGCCTTCCAAACGCGACCGAGAATCTAGGCATATAGATGTCCGGGGCGGTTTCCTTAACCGGCTATAAGACAGACGCCTTTTTTAACTCCGCCCAGTCAGGCCCGTTAAAGAGGGTTATGGCCTCTTTCTGTTGCTCTGGCGCGCGAGCTGCGATTTGGCAGTGCTTTGACGGGCTGTGGTGTCGTAAGGAGGCGCGGGTGACGAACGCTGCTAACCTGGTGAAGCGATATCTTTCTGTATGTCGAAATTCGGTTTCACCTCCTCAATGACTGAGCGCACTGGATATGAAAGATATCGGCAACCTGCAGGATGAAGAGGGCCAAGGTTAGCAGCGGACGACAAGAGGTGAGTGCATCAATGCGAGTGCCCGAAGTGTTGCACGGAGCGTGACTGTGCCAGTAGGGGAAACCGACGAGCGGTGCTGGAGGTCGGGAAAGAAGGACGATTCCGTCAATATCGCCAATCGCCAACCGCCAATCGCCAATCCCCAACCCCCGGACTCTGGCTTGGACTTTTCAGGTGACAGGGTGACATCTATTGGCACTGGCGCACATCAAGGCGGGCGGGAGCGCAGCAGGTACGAGCAGACATGGCGGCGCGTCCTTGTATGCCCGTGCCTGCCTGTCCTGATCCCAGGCGCATTCAAAGAGAGCATGGGGTGGGAAATCCGAGGCACTCCAGGTACCCCAGGCACTTCCAGGTGCATGCATAATTGGGATGTTAGAGGTAATGCGCACTGGCAGCAAACTACAGCCGCCGTCAGACCCAACGAGAGACAAGAAGTTTGCACTTACGAACTAGGGGGAATGCCACCGATTAAAACAGATTTGTGGTATATGCCTCGTAGCCTGTCGGTATTTTCTTGACACTCTACACTCTTTTTTTGTGCGTGTCAAATAGGCTTGCGGAAATCCGTATGACAGTCGTCGGTGGTTTGCCGGTTAGATCTGCAGTTCTGACAGCACCCAACAACGAGCGTTGGCGAAGGGGGTTCGCCGAAAATCGAAGAAGAAAATTGTTTGGGCGATGGGTGAGCCGGCGTCGACACAAGTCTCGAATCTGGGGCAGGCGTCGATCAAAGTGGAGAGAGGTCGGGGCGATTGAAGACGGGAGGTCTGAAGATGCACGAGAGAAGGGAAAGACGGATTCACACAAGTGAAAAGGTCAAAATCCAAAAAGAAAAAAAGGAGGCCAAAGAATGATGAATAGGAAAACAGAGGAAGAGTTAAAAGAGACGGGACGAGATCAGGTACAGAGTACGAGTTCGGGTGACGGAGTGCTATGTACAAAATAGGGGAGATTGGTCGATTGACACGATTGGTGGGCCGGCGTGGTGCGTAAACGCAGTTGGTAATTGGGGCAGTGTTTTTTGTTATTGCCTTCCAGGTCCTAGGTGTTGTTGCTGGTCCAGGTGGTTAGGTACCAAGGTACTGTTCGGGTTTCCTTGTTTGGTGAAGCACGCAAGTGGAACGTCTGGATGTAGATACGTGAGACACGGTAGAGCAGCTCGAAAACAATAAAATAAGATAAAATAAAATGAAAAAGAAAAATAATCAAAAACTTGAGAGGTAGAGAGGTTGGAGTTTCCACCAGGAAAAGAAACCGAGAGAGCAGAAACGATGGGCTTGGATGACTGAATGGAACGATGGATACGGAGATCAGAGCACGAAGTGAAGAGCAGGGCACCTCCCTGGTCGCGACAAGAGTGGAACGGCCCTAGTCAGCACACAGGCAGAAGCTGGAACAGAAACTGGATCCTTTTCTATTTTACCCGTTCTACCATCTGCAGCACCACACCACAAGGCTACAGTACCTTAGTGAACGCGCCCTGACGACCTCTACATTACCTTACAATTTCTGCAGCGTATGTACTATGTACACACATACACTACATGGCAGCCAAATTCATTTTCCTGGGATGGGATGGATGCCGTGACATGGGGTAATGGGTCTTGGACAATTACGAAGTGGGGAACCGGAGGACTTCACAGGCACTGATGGCGATGGCGAGGTGACGGCGCGAATAGCGCCCTTCTGTTGGCGACTCGCCCGACAGCTAGTCTACTCACTTCTTTACCTCTCACCCCCTTGTTTGACCTGATCATCTTCACCCTCTTTTGCACTCTTATAGGTTTCTTTCCCAGTCTGGGTTTCTGCTTTTGGCCCGCTGGCCCAATCTGTCTGGAATCGGCGGTCACCCATCACGGTCATCACCTCAGCAGAGCGGGCTCAGCTGCTCATCAACGGTTTTATCCTCTTGGTGGAATTGGGTTACAGGTTGTCTATACTTGGCAGTTGTCCGTCTAACACCACTCACCGGTCCGGTTCCGCCCCGTCACTTGTCGAGCCGTCAGGTCCAATGGGTCTGGTATGAGGGCATGGATCTGGGTGAATCTGTATGGACCCCATGCCACCTGTGTCCACAGGGGAAAATCTCGTTCTCTTTCAGTGTGCTCCCTCGGAACACCTTGGCGAGCACATCAAGCAGTGTTTTAGAGGTCCTGCTGTGAGCTCGGGACACGCGGAGTTGGGAGGGAACCATACAAATGGCTCTTTTGAGGACGGGGGCATGTCGATACGCAAGTATATGGCCTGCTTCATGGCAGTTAACAGGCACTGCAACAAGCCGGCGAGGATCTTTACCAAGCAACACGTGCATGACGTCCACGAGAATGTGTGGATGCATGAGCGGCATGGGCCTGCTGGGCTACTTGGCAAATTGGTAGGTATCCAAAATTGGGTAGCCCCGTTGGTTTTGGTGACTGCTCCGTTGTTGGGTCTTTCGTTTTCAGCCGGCACTGCTATGGACCTGGACTGGGGACGCGGAAAGGATCTCCCAAGACCTACGTACCCGTTTCGATATCCTTTGCTCCTTTTGGGTAATTAGCAATGGACGAGCCCAAGTATCATCACGTCTCGATATATCAGTACCCGTGGAGATAGGGTATACTCACAACATTCCTTCTACACCGCGACTGCCCATGGCGAGATCCCAGCCGAGCCGTGTAAGGATTATTGATCAAAAGGCTTAACTTGCAAGGGGCAAGGAGTGAGCGAGTTCACGTGCTCATGGTTCTATTGGAGTAAAAATGGGATGTGTTCTTCGCTTGTGAGATTTCGCTCAACATGATGCTTCTTCCTGCGGTCCCC